AAAAAAAGGAAAAAAATCAGAAATGACTTTCAGTAAAATGCAAATAGTAGCAGAGGGAGATAAATAAAACCCAATAGAATTGCTTGGTGTGATTTTGCAATCACAGCTTTCAGGAGCTGGAAGAGAATAAAAAGAAAGCTGCTTTCCAATAACACAGAAATAGTGTAACAACTAGCCAGTCAACAGAGGCAGAAAATAGGTAACCAGAGGAGAGTGACAAAATCGGCTTTTACTGACATAGTGATAAAAGGAAGATAAAAAGGCAGCAGAAGACACTGATGCAAAGAAGTATTTGTAAACACCAGATAAAGAACAGCTGAAGGCAGTAACTCAGGCTATAACATAGCTGATAAAGCAGCCCTGCAACATTCTAATCACCTGCAGTCCCAGGACTCCCTTTTTTTGAGAGGAGCAAATAACTCATCATTTTCATAGAGCAGTAAATTCTGTGCATAACTTTGAAGTGCTCAAATAAGATGTTTCCCTTAGGAATGAAGATAGTTTTCAAGTAACTGAGAAATGGACAGTGGAAATAGAATTACAACGCAGTTTGGATAGAAAAATTCCCATATGGAGAGACTCCAACAACATGGGACATCAACATTATTACAGTCCTCCTGGTGCCCAGAAGCAGCATCACTTCTATTGTTTAATCCCTCACTGGTAGTCTCTCATGGTTCCACCTCACCTAAATGTGAAGAGGGGATGTAACATAACAGAAGAACAACCAGACACATTGTAAGAAAGAAGTCTCTCACAGCTACCTAAGGATACACAAAATTCAAAGGATTTTTCAGAGGTATTTGAGCATTTTAACTTGCATCCTTCCTAAAGAGCAGGCAAGTCTCAAACAGATTTACATATAACCAGTCTCCCACCTATATGTTTGGTCAAATAAGGGCTCCAGAACCCACCTAAAGGGACATGAATCTAGCTAAAACAGTATGGCCAAGGCCCAGAAGGAAATGTTACTTCAATACTATTAAAACTTGTCTCTCAGCATTTGCCTTCGTTGTGTTTAAGTGATTCTGAAGCACAGAGAAACACGTGGATGGACACTGGGCCAATAATAAATTCAGTAACGACATAGCCTCAGAACGCAGATGGGCGACAAATGCGTTAGAAACATATTAGGCACAATAAAATAATTGAACTTTAGTCTTTGAATAATTACTTTGTTACTAACTGACATTAATTGCACCTTTTCTCTCAAATTTCTGAAGTTATTCTCAATCACATAGTTTCTAATTTGCTCAAAGCCTTGTGAAGCAGCAGCCTGTGCAGTACCACAGGGCAATGCTTCCCATAGCTCCCTTCTGTTCCATTCTAAACAACTCTTCTTTGCACAGATTTCATCCCTCTTTTCTATACGTGTATATGAGAAGTAGAGACTTTATATGTACTAAAGATTTGGTATTTACATAGCATAACATATGATCACATGTTAAAGCTAGTGTCAAGGAAGGATAAGAATTCAAAGGTTGGAGAAGGCATTCTAGTTGTTGCTATACATTAGATTATCCATGCATACTCCCATTAACAGTAGCAAAAAAGAATAGAAGGTTCAGTCTCCTCTCTGATCATACAGTTCTAAAATTTTCACGGAACTGACAAACAGCACGCAATTAAGTGAACTAGGTCAGAACAGGAACAGAATAGGGATCAGATCCCTAAACCTCTCTAGAAAGTGCCATACCTGCACACATATTGATAGGACAGTTCCCTTTACTATGGTGATTATATTGCAAACTGTTTACAACTCTTTCCTAGACTAATAAAAAAAACAAACGCACTGGAATAGAGCTTCATTCACTGAGAGCCTACCACTTGTTTTTGCACAAACTCTTCCGTTCATAAGAGATTCCTAACTATTTCCATTGGTCTGTTTGATCCTTTGCTTAAAATTAATCACAGTAATTTTTTTTTTTTTATTACATCTGGCAAAATTGCACCAAACACATTACACATGGCAGAAGACCAGGTTTTACCAGTTAGCAATACGTCATATTTTATTGTGGGTAACAGCAAAATTCAGCTGTGGTTGTCCCAAAACTCTGTAGACTGACAATCATTCCCACTCTTACAACTCCTGCCTTTTGCTTCTTCAATTGTATTTACATTCCAAGAGAAGTCAAGATAAATATAATTAGGTGACAATAAGTAATTTTTAAGGACTAAATATTTCAACATGAATAAAACCAACAATATAAAACACAATCCATGTGTGTATGCAGATTTTGTTTGTGTGTTGTTTTTTGTTTTGTTTTTTAAATAGTTTTTTCTGCTAGACTTCTGATCTGGAAACTGTGTGTTAGGAGCCTTAGATCAAGATGCTAAGCAGTTATATTTAATGAAAAGAACATGGGGTGATGGGTGGTTTAATACCCTTATTGAGCATTGATCAGTTACGAGGAGAACTTTGAAGTACAGCAGCAGAATGTCCTTGTTTTGAACCATTTTGACCAACAGAAAGATTTGGACATGGTCTGTATGTTTGTTCTACAAGGAGGAAAATATTGTTTTACAGCATACCATGTGTGATTTGGTGTTCTTTGTTACCTTGTGTATCTTTTTGCAAGATGCCTGCCAATTTAGTGTGGTAGCAAGTCTCCAGCAGAAACTGCAAATGGAAAGAGAGCTGTAACCTAGGAAACTTTTCTACGTTGGCATTTCTTAGGCTCTGAGTGAAGAGGAGTCAGTTGAAAGAACCCACAACTCTCAAATTCAAGTCAAACATGAAACTTTTGCAGTTACCAAGTCTTAACTTGCCGAGATTCACTTTGCCTGTTTTAAGTTAAAAATGTCCCCCTGTACAAGGGCAGAAATCTGCCCCACTTGCATATCTTTTTAGAGCCTGCCTAAATCCAATATTTTTATTGTGCACCCATCATTTGAGTAATTATCGTTCCCTCCAATTAATCACAATTTTCTAGTTCAGTTGAATTTACAATGTTTCCCATAGTCTTCTGAGAACTCAAGATTTGAACAGTGCTGTTGCCACCTTAGTTACAGTGGCTTGGTTTACTGATGAAGTATCAGGGTACCATTAGGATGAGAGGTACACAGCAAATATTCCTATAGCCATCAGAGCTTGTTTCTGCCACAATATTTAAATCTTCAATGCATACCCGAAGCATATATACAGGTTTTTATTAAACTTACATACTTAGTCAAGCATTTAAAGGTAAAATTCAAGCTTAGAATTACCAGAGTAAGTGCTAGGTGATTATTAAATCTCATATCTGTAAAACGTGCAGCTTGTTTTTGATAACTAATATTCACAGCTTTAAAGAGACACGCAGCAAAATAAGCAAGCTACTTAATCATGGAATGCACACATTTTCCATCTTCCTTTAGAACAAGCCAGTAAATCACAGCAGTGGTGCCTTCCTACTGTTTTCTTACTGCTCTAACCCACGTGTGCTTATTTCCAAGGACATTCTCTGAACCTTCTATCTTTTTGTACAGCAATGTTGTTAAAAGAACAACTAAAGTAAAAGAGTAAACCGATTTTGTCAGTTTAAATCCCAGAAAAAGTTTTAAGAATTAGATCGATAGAGGACTAGAACCTCTTCTTTTGGTATCTGCTACAGCTGCGGGTGTGTGTGTGGGGAGGGGACTTGACACCAAGATATGAAGTATTAAGTTCCTTCTGAAGTCATAATACAGCCACATATGCAACTGTATTCTCCAACTCCATGCGAGTGTCCACGAAGGGTCTCTCCTCACTGTGGATTGCAGTCCTCCCCAGCCTTTGTCATGGCAAAGTCAATATTCAATATTACCTCTTCATTTGCTTGCAAACTTTACAGTTATGCTAAAATTCCCCTACTATGAAGCCAGCAATGCTAAAACCTTGATTTCTTACCATAAGCCAACCTAAAGAAGTAAACTTAGAAAATTTATTCTCCTCAGGTGTTTCATAGTTGTTAAAGAAAAAAAGTCAAATTTAATCACAAGGAGAGTGATGAAAGATCACTGCGTTGATAAAAAAAAAATGCTTGAGGGTTTTCCAAGACATAGGCCTACATCACTTAGGCATTTAATTCGTATTGATCTTAATAGAATTCAGGCACCTCTGCTCCTTCATGAATCTGAAACTTGCATTCTTAAGGCCGTTCAATCATGGTGAAAAAGTGTACCCTATGACTTGCTAAATAAGTTCACTCTAGGTTGTATTTATGTCAGTTTTCATATGGGCAATGCTAGCGAAAAGAACAGCAATCATTTTCATGTAGCTTGGGGCTTGAAACAAGCTCCCACTTATACAGGAGTAAATTCAGGGTAATTCCATTTACTTCATTTGATTGGATCTGGCCTCTTGCCTCTGACACTGCCTGTGGTAACAACTGTAGTGTAACATTTTTTTTCCCCCTCCAAAATAAGATTGCATTTTAAGAAGAATGTTTACAAAGAGGAATGTCAAGTTTTTGTACCATTTAGAGATTGCTAGCCTATGTGGATATTTAAGCAGAAGCAACCAAAATTATTTTTCACAAAGGAGAGAGGGAAAGTTACACAGAGTCATAATGCCCACTAGAGAATACCTGCCCTGTATACACACAATAACTCCCATCACCACATATAACAACAGCAAAAAAAAGAAGCCTAACCACATAAGACACCTGTAGTTATGTCATCACAAAAACTATATTGACAAGGGCAGAAAGAACTGTGCTAAAGCTTAATACTCTAGTAGTTAAGATCAAAAAAAAGTCCAATACCAAAACATCTTTCCTGGCATGGTGAATCATTTTTACTTTTTGTTTGCTCCAACGTAACTATTCCCAGTGGCAGCCTGCCAGGCAGGAGCAGGTGTACAGCTGTTCCTGTGCCAGGTAATACATTGCCAGAGAGGGGAGCCAAGCTTGAGCACTTACGAAACACTTTCTACCACCCCTTTAGCAGAGATTCAAATTTGGCATATTTTTGTGTCGCCACTCTTGAAAATTTTGGTTTTGCTAATTAAAAATACAAATAGTCCATAATAACTTACTTACAGTTCCCTGTGATAATTATTCTTTCCACTGAATATTATGGCAACTGGAATCCTCTGCACCACAGCACATACTGCAAACGCCAAGAAAGAAATCGAAGTGTGTCATCACTGTTGATAGAAGGATAAATATAGTTGAAGTCAGATTAATATTTCCAAGATTACTCATTTCTACTTCAAAAGAGAAGCAAAGATCATGTGCAAAATGACAGCTACCCATCTGGGACTAGAAAAGTCACCATATGGATGTCTTTTTTCTAATTATAGATAAATTTCTGAACTAAGGGATTTAAAAGTAGAGATTTGTTAGTTCAAAAATATACTTCCTCTCCTCCCTCATTCAGGCAGTCCTTTGGTGCTGGCTAATCAATCAAGCAAAGCATTAGGAGCTTTGCTTCACCTTTAAGAAGGGAGAATTTTCCTACTTTGTGTAATACACAGTCATTTTTGTAGCCCTATTAGAAGAAATTTGTTGCTTTTTTTTAAATAGGCCAGAAAAACCTTTATAATCCTTTAGCCTAATGTCCCTCATATCAGAGGCAATGAGATCTCCTTATGTAAATTCCTTACCTATGTATAATATCATTACTTGAAATACAGAATACACTCCTGAAAAACATCCCAAGTAGATTAAAAGATATTTCAATTACATAATTATCATCCAAGGTAAGTTGCTCCAAGAGCAATTAATTTACGTAAATGATTAAGTATGTATTCTTAACTTTGGGCAAGTTGGTTCTTCTTCCACTACAAGATTAATTTTTGTTGTATTTTGTCTGCTGGATTGACTGATTAATCCTCTATCAAATTACAGAATGGGATGCATGTATTTATAAACCAATCATATTCTTCTTCAGAGCTTTGGTTTGATACGCTAATAAAGTAGGCTTCTTGACCTTGGGAAATGTTTTCTATACTTTACATTAAGGGTGGGGAAAAATAAGCTCCTCTGAACCCTGCAGCTTTTGGCCTCCCTCTAGAACCACAAACACTACATAATATTCCAATAGCAATTATAGCTGTGCCAACTGCAGAGGCTGAACTGTCTTTTCATGCCTGCTTAGCATTTCATAGCATTTATACATGGATTACATTAGCCTTTTTGTCATCAAGGTAGAAATTAACTTCAGCACATAAAGGTAGCTGATATGAAGGAAACTGCAGGAGTAGTCAACTGGGACAAACAGGCTTTTTCTTGAAGCCCAGAGCACACACGCCATGCTCATGACCTCCAGGGTAGCCTCTTTTTTCCCTGTCTACTGACTATGCTAAGTTAGGCAGAACAAGTACACTGAATATCATCCCATCTCCAGGGGGAGTTTAAGACACATAACAGCATCTTTGGCTGCTCTTAACACACATGAACCAGCAAATTTCTGGTTACCATACAAGTCAGCATGTATAAAAACTTCTTTTTTTTTTTTTTTAAAAAAGCTTTTTTCCTTCAGTCCTGGTAAAGTCTCACATTCCGTCCATAGTTAAACTGAGCACCTATCATCATTGTTACACACAAGATTAGTCCCTGTACCTTCCCTAGACATACCTGAATATCCACCTCACAGATTGCAAACAGTTGTATTGTGAACAGTTGTCTGACATCTATACAAGCAGTGAGATAGAGGTTGAAATAGCTGATGGAAATGGCAAATGCACCTGATCCATTTAGTTTATTTAAGATAGCAACTTCACTTTGCTGTTGTCTCAGGAGCTAGTGCTTCCAAGAAAGGAGGCTGCCTGGAGGATCAGGGAAGGTGCTTTCAGCAGCTCGTGAGCAAGAGCTCCAGCTGCTCCCATTACTTTCCTCTACAGCCCAAGTGCGGGAGGAAAAACAAACAAACAAAAAAAACAAACAAACAAGAAACTGAAAGAAAACAATTTTTTTTACTTATGCGACTTCAAATATGTGTGACCATGATCTAGCACTATGACTGTCCACTGAGTAACATAGTTCTCAATCTGAGCATGATCGAAACACACTCACATATTTTATCTGGGCTACGATCCTTATTCCATTAAGGAGCTGGTCTAATACAGCATTTTTTCCTCTAGCTGTAATACTGCACCACTTAACTGTGAGATTTAGCACAGTCCTCATAACTGGAGCCTTATTTCCACTCATGTTGTTACAAACATCTTAGCGTCTCATACTTTATCCACACCATGAGATCTGGAAGTTTAACCATGCATAAAAACCTTTTGGCTGTTGCAGTAACACTCTGAAATGAAGCATGTCCGTCTCCACACAGGCCGCAGCACACAAGGCCATCTTATTCCACTTCATTCCTATTAACTTCAGGTTTTCCTCTACTTACCATGGAGTTTTCCACCCTTGCTTTCAGTAAGTCAAATTACAACACACAAATAATACAGTCCTTCAGGGAGAGAAGAAAAAAAAAAAAAAAAAAGCTTCTGCTTTCCTAGAGAAAAGAGCAGAAGGCTACTCAGAATAAGCTACTGGAGCCTTATGAAGAATGGTATAAAATTCAGCTTCACATGCAATCTAACATCCAACCCATGACCAGGAGTAGTAGTTCTCCTTTGTAAAATAGTGTTAAATGCCCTAAAATCCTAGGTCTACGTTCTAAGTTATGTACTTTTGAACACAAAACTAACCTCCGTTTGCCCTAGTACCCCCTCCTCACACGGCCTAAGCCGCCATCTTAGCTCACAAGACCCTACTGTATTCAAACTCCACCCATTTTCCTGAGGAATGTTTTTTTCCCTCCCCTCAGGCCCAGAAAAAAAAAAAAAAAAATAACAATCACATTATCATTCTGTTATAGCTCCCTATTAATTTTAGTCTCACTGTGGCTCTCTATTAAATCCTCAGCCCTTTCAAATGCTTCTAGAATCACTTACAGATAAAGCTCCCACTGCTCAATACGTGTGCATTGCAGCTCCCATAGCTCAGCAGTAGACCAACCCCTCCAAAACCACAGCAAGTTAGGCAGCAGGGTACAGGCACCTTCTTTTACATCTTTTCCATGGCTGCTGAAAAACAGGCTCCAGCTTCTCTGGGCTGACTATTTCTGTGCCCTCAAGCCCAGCCTCCTGCAGAGCTTCTTCACCTGAACTGCCCACAGCTGCCCCCGGAGCCCCCTGACAGGGCCCAGGTCCGGCCTCCCCCACCTGCAGCCCTCTGTGTCTCATCCCCTTCAGCTGGGACTTCTAGCATTTTCTTTGGAAGACTCAAATTAGATTGAGGCCTTGTCGTTTTCACAAAAAGCTTGATGGGGGGAGGAGGGAGAGGGATGTGGGTGTAGTAACACAGTTTTTGAATATATTGCTTTGAAAATCATAGTGAGATGCACAGAAAAGCATAAGAGGTCCCAGGCTTCACAATAAGACCCTCAACCATTAATACAATGACTAAAGAGCTGCCTAATGATGACGTTTACAGAAACATTCAGGATAAGCTCCTGAAAACCTCACCTTTCATGGGAATCAGTAGTTTGTGTGCTCCTGAGAGGCTCTATCTGCTCCCACCTGGAGTTACAAGGCTGAACTTCAGGCACAGCACAAACTTCTGTATTCCTTCATTTTGGCTTTGTTCTCTACCAGGCCAGAATCTAAGCCAGATGATAATGCAGCAGATAATGCTTTAGAGCAAGTACCTCTAAGTATTTTAATAAAAATATCTGGTACTTTGTGCTGATACATATGGCAAACTAACTTGTAGGAAGCTAATGTCCCATTTGCAGATTTCCCAGAGATGTCACTGAGTTGCAACAGAAATTGGGTTAGTTCTTTACTACTTTTCAGAAACTTTATTTTGCTGATGGTTTCTTTTCTACTCAATTGCAGGGCTATTAGAACTAGCTAAGAAATTTAACACAAATTTAACATTTTCTGCTGAAGAAAATATCTTGTCTAATCCTCTGATGTTTTCCTCTATCTTAACATGAAGGGAAAGGAAGGAGGAAATCCTTTAGAAGAAGAGACTAAAAGGGAATTTTTGCCTGTTCGGCCTTATAAACATTGGCATTGAAGGAGTTAAGGGACTGGCATTACCAAGCTGTTTCATGGTGGTGGGGAAAGCACAATGTGAATCATTACAACTCCAAAGAAAAGAAGATATATTTGAAAATGAACAACAGCATATGCTTATGCTTCCTTAAAACTAGCTTTGGGCCAGTTGTTTCTATCCCACAGTAATACCAAGCATGAAACAAAAGAAAGTTTCAGTACCATACATTTCCTTTAGGAGGGAGTCCAAAAGTAAAGTGTGTATGAAATAAGACTTGTCAGGGAGAAAATATTTGTGAGGATTTTTTTTTGTTCTACCTGACCTGCTAGTAATTCAGCCACTTACATACACTTAACAGGAAGTTTGCTGTTTTAAATAAAGAATTTCCCGCTGTAATGAACAGAGAAGGTGAATTTAGGCCCCTTAGATGCAATGCTAACTTTCTGAATATTTCATAGAATCATAGATTGGTGTGAGCTGGAAGGAACTTTAAAGATCATCTTGTCCAACCTGCTGCCATGGGCAGGGATACCTTCCACTATACCAGGTTGCCAAAAGCCCCATCCAACTAGGCCTTGAATGCTGCCAAGGAAGGGGCACCCACAGCTTCTCTGGGTAGCCCGTTCTAGTGCCTCACCACCCTCAGTAAAATTTCTTCCTAATGTCTCATCTAAATCTACCCTCATTTAGCCTAAAGGCATTTACCCTTGTCCTATTGCTACACACTCTGAAAGTCTTTCCCCATCTTTCCTGTATCCCCCTTTAGGTACTGGAAGGCAGCTATAAGGTCTCCCCAGATCCTTTTCCAGGCGTAACAGCCCCAAGTCTCTCAGCCTGTCTTTATAGGAGAGGTGCTCCAGTCCCCTGAATATGCAGATATATTTAGGAGGACGGGGTTTAAGGTCATAATCTATAAGCTCATCCAGAAGTGTTAGTTAAAAGGTACTTAAGGACAAATGGGATGGCATGGTGGGGAGTGTTTGGGAGTATAAATGTATGGGTATAAAATCTTAATCACTGACAAAGCATTCATTCTGATGTATAGACCCAAATTAAAGTAATTAACAGATACACACCTATTAGGCAAAGCTATTATGATACAGACTTTATATCAGAATTCTAGTCCGGATGAAAAACAATATAC